TTTCGGTGGATCTTAGATTATTTTTATTCAGCAAAAATGTTGCGTGTTTATTAGAAACCACAGTATCTCTTTAATAAGAGTTTGTTTAAGTTGGCTAACTGCTGGAGGTGTAATACTGCTAAGGCTTCTTTAATCATGTGTTGGCAATGTGCAATATGAATAAACTTTGTATTGCAATACTTTAATATTTTCTGATGTACATGTGCCTTGGAAGTGAAAACATGATCAACTCGAACTGATTTTCTGTGCCCCTTTGGCAGCTTAAAGACTGATACTACAACAATGGAAAGATAAAAGCTTGCCTCCTATAATGCAATGGATACTTAACACAATGGATACCTTTCAAAACTTTCAATATTTGAGTGGATGGCATGTAGACATATAGATGCTACTGTCAAGTAGACATATTTGGTCTGCCTTTCTTCTTCTTATTTTTCTTTGATTTTGTTTCAGTTTTGTTTAATTCACAATAAAAAAGAATTTGGAAAAAGAGAAGGAAGGAATTCCATGGTGCTTCTCTTTGTCTTCACCTCTACAACCTGCTTGCTTACCTGTCCAGGTACCAGCCCCTGGTGGTGGTGAGATGGAGGAGCAGGTGGTCTCCTGGCTTAGTGTTCCTCTGCCTTTCAGGCATTAGGTGGTAGCAGTGATGAGAGAAAGGACGAGGGACCACTGCACCTGGCGCAAAGGCAGGGAGCAGAGAGGCAGAGTCAGGGAGGGAGGGGGTCTTGTCCAAAGACCTGTGCGCCCTGCCGCCAGCACTGACTTGTGCTGAAACAAATCTAGGCTAAGGTTTAGCAAACAGTTCAGCATAACTGTAAAATCAGATGGGTTATCTGCAAGGCCCTACAGACTTTAGTTGTAAATAGATGTCAAATTGGGCAAAGATATATATTTTTTGTAGTACTTTGGCCATGAACAGCTTGTGAAGGAGAACCAGCAAGGGAAAAAACCCTATGCAATGAATACCATGATTTTTCTATGTTTCTTTTAACTCCTCGGAATTTTCATTAAGATAAGCATTGTAGCAATCCTCATATGTTTCTCTCCCCCACCCCATGTTTTTGTGGTTTGTTTTAAAATTATAGTTTTGGAATAGCTGACTTTTAACCTGTGTTTTCTATAGTCTCAGAGATCTTTTTTCATTTTTTTTTTAAATTTCACATATGTATCGTAGGCAGGCTACTAAAATTATTTATAGTCTGGTACATTTTTCTGAAATCATTTGTAGGTCTGGATTGCAAGGATAATTGTACATCTTTCCCTCAGAAGGGGAGACATAAAGGCTGGGTTCACATGTCACAAAAAGCAATCCTGTGTGGTTACCACAGTTTGTGGGTTTTTATTTCGATATGTCTGACAGACAGAGGCCAACGGTGGTAACTCTCTTCCCTTCTGGTCTCTACTTCTCTCTCATTCCTCCGGGAGCTATCCCTAGAGATACCGCTGGGAGGAATGAGGCTCCTCACTTTGACAGCCACAATCACAAGTCAGGTCTAGCTTGCCATAGCTGTCAAGCATGTCATCATGGAAACAGTTCTCATGCCCCAAAGCACAGCAGAAAAATGAGGGAACTGAATTACCTCCTGCTCTAGAGGGAGCTGCTGGAACAAAAGTGAGGGCGCTGAATCCACACTCAGGCAAAAGGGGAGGAAATCCACTGGATGGTGCTGAGGAGTGGACAGTGCAGTGCTGCTCAGCTGCCCCCACACACTTGAAGGAAAACCCTCAAGTGCAAGCAGGAGTGGGAGAATCAGCTGGGCGGAGGCGAGGGTTGGGATGAACCCTCTCAGAATCTTTTCAGCACCCGTTGGATTCCCCTCATGCTCAGCCCAGCCCTACAAAGGAAGCCAAGCCAAGAGAAAGTCTACAAATGCTTGCAGGTCCCCAGTTGTGCAACTGGCAACCTTCCCTGTCAGGAGTGGCTGCAGGACACCAAAGAAGGCCACTGCGAGTGAGCATTCCTGACAACCAACTTTCTTGCCCTCTCGCTCCTTCCAGCAGTGGCAGGTATGGAAGAGGGGTGCAGCTTGTGGAGCCTAATTCCTAATGAATGCTCTGTGTGCTTGCCAGGAACTTGGACTCAGGGCTGTTGCAAAGTGGACTGGAGTCCAGAGAGCCAAGCTGAGGAATCCAACTGGTTCCTATCCCAAATGGATTCCGCACACATCCCTGGTGGTGGTGCCAAGTTGGGAGCAGCACCACTGAGCTGATCGCCACCCCCCCCCCGATCCCCCACATGCCCCTAAGAGAAGCCCATCATGCAGATGAGCAGGAGGGGGACAAATCAGCTGGGCAACAATACCCAGTGGGGGGAAGCACTGCTCAGCTGATTCCCCCACCTGTCCCCTTTTCTTGCTCCTACATGTGAGAGAGGCATCCCCAACCCATTGCCATGGCCTACCTGAAGGAGGATTCCTCAGACGAAGAGAGCCAGGGCTTCAGACTTAGGGTTCATGGCTACAGATGGCTGTCCTCGTTCTGAAGACCAAAGTGCCATACTGAAATAGCATAATGGGGTTGGGATTGCACAACCGACCAACAATGGTAAAAACCCTCTTGTCATGTTGCATGACCCTATCCAAAGTGTAACCCACGTGAGAGAGCGAGAGAGAGCAGAAATGTACACTGCCTGAAACAAGAAGAAAACTAAAAATGGGGCACTTGTACACCTAGTCCTCTTATCTGTTCATTTGAATGAAGAATTAGGAATGGATTATAATTAGGGGACCCACTGAAAGGAAGCAAACGAGAACCGAAGCAGATGGGAATCCTGTCACTAGTGCCATCCCACTTGGGTTTGCCAGCAAATATATCACTATAGATAGAAATCAGATTTAGAATCACTTGTTTAGATACACTGACTCCTTCGCTAAGCGGGGATGTGAGGATGTCTGCAGCTTCGTTGTGTTGCAACATGATTCTGACCTGCAAAGGAGAAAGACTGCTTTGATGTGTTGCTGTACCCTGTTGCCAAGGACAATCTGTGACAAAGAAGCCTCTCTTGACATGTTCTTCCCATCTGGAGAAGTTCTTACACGTTCCTATATTAAAGTTTAGAACGAAAGAAGACCGTGTCCTTTTAAAAAGAGTGCACAATAACTCTGAGACTGACACATCCATGACTAAATGAAGGGCATGCCACAACTTCTGTCTGCTCTGGATCTCCATAGGTGCAGATGGATATTATCAAATTTCCAACAAGAAAAGAGATAATCTGGTGATACGCAACAGGGGAGAGAGAAGCAAAGTACTTCCAGATGATGACTATGAAGATTTTCAAACCTTTCCCAGCTCAGATGCCTTTATCTTTTAGTTTCAGTTCTAGTTCATTCCATAAATAGATATCAAGATATCCCATGAATGCACCCAAAAAATCTCAGTAGTTAGGGGCTGCTATGATTCATTGCTTTGGGTGCACCAGTATGAACTGCCTAAGGAACCTGGGTTAACTGCCAAGGAATAACCAAATTCCCAGTTGGTTCCCAGGCTTTTCAGAATGCCTCAGTGTGGTTTCATGGCCAAGCTTAATTAATCAGCTGTTGGTTGGGACTTAATTGGGCAGTATCCAATGAACCCATCTTGCTTGTCAGTGGAATGCAGGGAGGGTTTCCTCACCCCAATCTGTGCAGACCCCCACTCTCTGCAGTGCCCACCTGTTCTGGAAGGGTGTAGAACCCTCTGCAGCAGGTTTGGGGCTGTGAGGGAGGAAAAGGGGGGAAACTCCTATTGTGTGCATGGACATCTGCTCACACCGCTTTGGATTTCATCCATCGCTCTCTTGTTGTGGCTTCCCATGTCTTGTTCTGAGTCTTTGCCGCACTTGCCCATTCTGACACTAGGTGCTGCTCCTTCTGATTGTCCGCTGAGTTACAGCCACTGTTTTAGATCTGGCTGTCTCATAATGATCCATATGGCACGCTTAATCCCAAGAAATTTGCTTTGAAGTCTCCCACTCCTTAGGAGCTTCCTTTGGTTTGCTTGATAGTTTGCTTTTCCTGTGGGAAGTCTGTATGTGTGGGGGTACCCTCTCCCTCATTTTGGAACTCTATAGGATAGCTTCAAGTTGGTGTCTACAGCCCATTTTAAAGTAGTGAAAACAAAGCTGTGTTCTTCTCTGTACTGTGAGGAAAGGTTTTGTTCCAATCCCTGTTACCCTGCACATGTGCATTGCAGTTTAAAGTTTAAAACCTGCATCAAGTCTATGTGGCTGAGTTCATTACAGAATGAACTGTATTTTGGTATTCTAAAGCAGAAGATACTGAATTTAAATTCAGTTTGATTTTTAGATTATTTTCATGTAAGCATGTTTCAAATGCACATCAAAGTACTGTGTCTCTAAAAATAGAACACTTGTTAAAGTGTATTTTGTAATATGCCTTTCAACAGTGCCTACTCAAGATGTATACAAACAATGATGTTAAAACATGCACAAAGTGCAGTAAAGCTATAAAGTGACTATGACAAAAACTTTGGGGGGGCTTTAAAGCCAGAGGATGGTCTGTAAATCCCAAGGTAAATATCTTTTCTGCTTTGAAATCAGGTCTCACATTATTTAGATTTACTATGAGTTCAAACCCAAGTTAAAAGTCAAAGTATTTATTCATCTTAGTTTTGTGTTAAGGTTGTCACTGTCTAGAAGGCATATTTTAGTATGTAATTTATCAAGTTACTATCAACTACTTGTAAAGGTGCTTTGACTTTAGCAGCTTATTCTAATTAGCTATAGGGTTCATAAGAGGGGGAGAAACCCGCTTTATGTCACTTGATATGAAATTTATGAGAAGGAAACAATGCCACAAGAATGCATGTGTATAAGTTTTTAAAAGTGGCACGGAACTCTGTTAGTTCCCATGGCTTTAAGTTTGACTGTGTTTTTTAGGAAGTGAGGAAGTGTTTTTTAGTTCCCCTGGTGTTAACCACAATTTTAAAACCAATATGAGAATCCTGCATTGGGTGTTCTTTTCATAACCTTCTTTCCTTATTTATTTTAAATTTAGATTTCTGAGAAATACGGTCTTCCATCTGAAAAGATTATGAAGCTTTACAAGAAGAGCAAAAAGGGGTAAGAGAAATGAAAGTTCATATTGGAAGTCATGTGTTTACAGGAGTGTCTTGGGCTGGGACCTCAGCTCCTGGAAGATCCTTGTGCCTAGCTTGGGATGTATGGCCACAGTGCTGCAAGGGAAGTGCTGCCTAGTGAGCAGCTCATGGTTCAAGTGTAGGTTGCAGCCGATAGACTGACCTGGCCTCTAAGTAAACTGAGACGTTCCTACTGATCTAGCGCCCAGTCCTGCGTCAACACAGCTCTTGATGCAAGGTGTGGCTTAGACACTGCGCAGAGGCAACTCTCTTGGGGGAGGTCCTCACATTACAGTGCAGCCTGGGAAGCTGTAGCAGCAGGGTTTCTCCCTGCAGCCCTCAGCTCATGCAACAATCCCTGGAGTCACATGACTCCGCTTGTTCCTGGAGCTTCTCGCATAATGTTAGATGGAACTATTTGTGGCAGGCACAGCAATATTCGGTTTCCTTGACTATTAAGTGGAGAATTATTTGTATTTTTGCTTATCTTCGAAACTGAACAGCAGAAGCAAAGATCAGAAGCACCGAATCACAGTGCTGCGTAAGAAGAGCCATGCTAGATTAGACCAAGCACCCATCTAGTCCAGCATTCTGTTCACACAGTGGCCAACTAGTTTCCTTTGGGAAATCCATAAGCAGGGCATGAGTGGAGCAGATCCTCCCTGCCCATGTTCCTCAGGAACTGGAGTACATAAGCATACAGCCTCTGATACTAGAGGTAGTGGATGGTCATCATGGACTCCCAAGATGAGGAGGAGGAAAAGAACAAATAATAGGACTAGGGGAACAGCATGCCTCTGCCACTCCAGTTCATTTGTCCCTGCTATATCTGTAGCTAGCTGTCCAACCTCTAACAAACTTTCACCTCCTTTGGTGTATATTTCCCTCTGGGACACCCAGGACAGTGTTAATTGGCCTTGAGTCTGAGCATCAGCCCATCGACCAGTCCAATGCCATCAAGTCACCTAGGAGCAGGCCTCAGGTAGTTGCCTTTCCCAGCATTGCTGCTTAAGATACCTTAATCAAAAGATGCCAGCTATTGATTCAGAGACTTTCAACGTGTTATACCTGTGCTGAGCTTTCCCCACAAAATGTATCTAACTAAAGATTGCCCGAAAGGCTTCAAGCAAGACTTCTTTTATGCCTGGACATAAAATGTAATGCTGGAAAGCAATTTTTAAAAAATGGAATATAGTCCACTGATATGTGCTAGAAATGCTCAGTACGCAATATCAGTCTGTTACAATCTGTGGGTATCAGACAGCACTCAACTGACCCACTGGCATTTTGCAAGACAATGGAAAGGCAGCCTTTCAACATGGGATCAGATGTAGAATGCCCTGTTTTGGGATGAAGATCCTGCACCTGTCCAGATGGTGGCTACAAGGGTGATGTCCGGTGATGATGGGAGCCTGTGTTGAAAGGACCATGGGTCCCTACTGCTATGTTGAATGAGAATTACAAGGGAAAAAATCTTTGTGCATGGACACACACGATATAATTTATTCACATAGTCTAAGGAACAACCAGTCATTTGAAAGCATTGTGTTGGTTAACTGGCATGGATCTAAATGAAGAGTTCACAGTGAAGCCAAATCACTGACAATGAAAGGTTATTTATAGTCACTCAGAAGGAAGTACTGCTCTGTTCAGTGGAGGTTACAGTTCACATTTGAAGCTCTCCATCTACCCTTATTATCTGACCTTTACTAATGTATCCTTTTCCGATTCCAGGATCTTGGTAAATATGGATGATAACATAATTGAACATTATTCCAACGAAGACACATTCATCCTAAACATGGAAAGCATGGCGGAAGGCTTCAAGGTCACATTGACAGAGATCTAATTTAGATCAAGTTGCAGTCCCTTGAAGTCATAGCATTTTGCCCTTGTCTTAAGACAGAGAACTATTCTTCTAAAGCCCTAGTGACCCACTGTTGCTGAGAAGACAGGCTGTTACAAAACTCCATTGGGAATCAACTCACATTCCTCCCGTTTGGCACAGGAAGCAAACCTGGTGCTTACTGACTGGCCAGTGCAAATTGAGCCCACACACCACCACACAGTTCCTTATTTATTGCTCCTCACTCTGCAGAATGTAAATATTCAGTGGACATTGGACTTTGCAACCTTGGCTATTACAAGGGTGCAGCAATGACTTTTTATGGAAGAAAATAAAATTGGGGATTTGCATTAGTTCAACTGAGATTCTGTAATTAAAACTGCACCCTTCAAAGTAAATCATTAGATACATGCAGAGCTGATGTTGTGGAAGGGGCCGATCGCTTGCACAAAGCTGCCGAGTAACATGTGGTTTAGCCATATTTTTCCAGGCACTTCCCAGGACAGGGCAAGTAAGGACTGTAAGATGCTCAGATGATTTGCAAGCAAAACACCATCCATTTGAACCTCTGTACATAATGTTTATAATAATGTAATAATATATTTTTCCTACACATGTGGGCATGCTTACTGCCACTATGATTTGTGCTGCAGTCAGAAGGTGGAGGCCTCTTGCTGAAGAGGGAAGTCCTGCCACTGGCGATTCATTGTGCTGAGAGGCTGAGGTTTGTTTTTGCGCCTTCTGCCTTGTCGCTTGTCCAGCATCCACAGAACAATGTCAAAGCTTGTGGTGTCGCATTTGACATTCAATCCATAACTTGGGAGTCTTTGTGGCTCATCCACCCTTCCCTGCCCATTCTTGATGCCAGCCATCCCCCAAGCTGGTGCCCTACATATGTTTTAGATTAAAGCTAGTATCATTTCCAGCCATCAGACCCAAGCTGAGGGGTGTTGTAGTCCAAAACATCTAGAAGGTACCAGATTGTATGCAATGATGCTGCACAGTCTTCCGTTTCTTAAATTATTTATCCTTTATATGCATCCTTGAATTTTCATAATCTTTTCTTGGCCATTTTTGCTGGATGAGACCCCTCATTTTTTTTTTTTTTATTTAAAACATTTTTATGCCACCCCCATCGCAACAAAGCCTTGGGGCAGCTCACAACAGCAATTTTTCAGTGCATTATACAGATAGCCCAAAATGGGGCAGCTTCCAATTCTAACATCAGGATTTTGGAAGTAATAGTCTTCTTCCACTCAGTTTCCCTTTTCTTTGGAGCCTTTGGCTAACTGGAGCAAAACCAGAACAGAGCCAGATGGTCTTTAAAAAAAAAATAGAGTGAGCCATACAGTCATAGAAACTTACAATTGGAATGGGCATTGAGGTCTTCTCATTCAGCTGCATGCTTATTGCAAGATCTATAGCACAGAATGCCAATAAAACATCCTTGACAGCTGGCCATCCTGATACAATCAATTCCATTGACCAATAGCCCTCGCCATTAGGGCATTTCTCCTAGTGTTTCACTGAACTCTGCTTCCGTGTGACTTCTAACAGTTAGTTGTGGTCCTGTCTGCTAGAGTATCAGAGAACATGTCATCCATGTCTTCTGTCAAACTATCTCTCACATACTTGAAGATTTTTCTCTATAATGGCGGGATGAAATTGGCTCAGGCCAGTTTTGGTCAGCAAATGTGGTCCAAGTCCAGATGGACAGCTGTTCACTTATTTTAATTGATACCTATTATCCATTCATACAGTATGTAAAATTTAGGAGTATTTTGGCTATCCAGTTCACATGTAAGGTGCACTGTGTGAACAGTTTCCAGAAAGAAATGGCACATTAAGGGCCATGGTGTGGAAACAGCAAGACTTGTACAGATTTTTTTTCCTCTCAGTGAAACTGGCCTGAAGAACCACATGCCAACTATCCAAGGAAACTGGGAGGAACTTTGGAAAGAATGCAGATTGTGCCTCCTGCCTTGGTGATCCACCTTGCTTCATTTGCCCTCTATTTGGCTCCTTCCTTCCTAGAATCCTTCATCTTCTTTAATTCAAATGGGAATGCAGTCAAAAAATGCAAGGAAGACTGAGATTAGGAAGGGTAGCAATGACGAAAGTAGAAAAGATCATCACTTTCTATATGCATGAAAGCTGAACAATGAAGAAAGCTGACAGGAAGAACACTGATGCAGTCAAAACATGGTGTTGGAGGAAATCTTTGCAAATAGCCTGGACTGACAGGAAGCTGACCAAGTGGGCCCCAGATCAAATCAAGCCAGAATGTGCCTGGCGGGAAAAATAAGGAAACTGAGGCTGCCCTGCTTCAGGCACATCGTGCAATGATGATGAGGAGGATGATTTGGATGGGGGAGGGGTGGGAGTCAAAGGCAGAAAAAGAAGAGGAACTTTTGAGATGGCTCGATCCCATAAAGAAAATTACAGTCTTGAGTTTACAAGAGCTGAGCTGGAATGTCAAAAGCAGGACACTTTGGGGGCACAGAGTCAACTTGAAGGCACATAACAACACCCCTTATGACTCAGGCTATTCTCCTTGTTCCTGGTTGTGGTTTCCATGCTAGCACATCCTTCCAAGAGTTGTGGCAGGGCTGGAAGAATCATCCTGTACAAATGGAACTACGTTGTAGTTCATTCATTTAGTAAAGCTTTTTAGTGTTCTCTGATGATAGTGTCTCCTGATGATGTCCCTTGGTGATGAGATGCAATGTAAACATGTAAATACACTTTCATTGGCGTGGGTCTAAATGTACATATTTGTCCAAGCTATTGATTTCTGGTTTTGTATTATTATATTACGCAACCTGTCTTAGCAATATCTGATAGACAGTTTTCATTACCTGTCTACGGATGGGACTGCTGAGGAAGGGCTATAGCTTAGTAGCAGAGAACATGGTTTGCATGGAAAAAGTCGCAAGTTCAGCCCTTGGAATCTCCATGTAGGCAAAGAAAGACTCCTGCCTGAGACCTTCTCTACACCCCAAAGACCTGTTGCCTCTTGCAGAACAGGCCCCACTATCCCCAGACAGCGGCATGGGTAGGCTAAGGTTTATGGCAGTGTTACTCCAACATCTCTGGAGAGCATTACATTGGAGAAGGCTGCTTGCAGGCAATATTGAACTAGATGGCGCAAAGGTCTAATTTGCTGGAAGACAGGTTCCTATATTCTCACAACACAATGAAATAAAGTGAAACTCTCAGCAGACCAGACATAACAATGATTCCATTACTGTGACTTGCAGATTCTCCATTTCCCATTAACTTCCTTGCTAGGTGAACCAAGAATAGATAACTGCAATGCCTTTTATTCTGTTACTTCTTTTTCGCTTCCTCAAGCCTGAAAATGTGAAATATGAATGTGAAATGAAACCTTGTAAATTCTTGCTCACATAACTAAGAAAAGCATGTATGGGATGTGACACTGAAAGCATGAACTGAAAAGGGGGAAAACACAATCTTTTTTGGAAAAGGTAAGCACAGATTTAAGTAAATCAAAATTTGCACCTCTTTGATGGGATCAAATCAAACCCCAAAGAGCTGAGATGGCTTGTTTGAATCAGACAGTCTCAGAAAGGTGCTGTGGAGAGAAATGTTTGTGATACGTAAAATAGCTGTATCTAAATTTTAAGAGTATTTGCTACTGCTGATGTTCTTGTAGCTTCTCATTTGCTTTAGACTTCTGCAAGGTACCAAATGTTGCAGGAGAAATGCCAGATCCTGAATGATGGGATGTACTGAAAAGCTTCTTTGATCATAGTTTTAAGGGCAATTTATTTAGATAGAATCTTGCACTTCCCAGTTCAACTAATATTGGTTATTTTAAAAAAATATTATTTAAATAGTTTTAACAGTTGCCCTATATCTGCAATGTATGCAAAACACTAGGGAAAATACACATTCGTTGATTTGTGTATATATGCATAAACGTTACTGTCCCTTGTAGTTGTGTAAAGCTTTGATGACTGATATATCTAAAGTGAATCATATCCTAATTTAGCCTTGCTTGAGAACTGATGGAGATTGCAAAGCCTTTAATGGCAGATTAATGTTCTGTATGTTTAGATTACATGACAGCATGAGATTTAAGATATGTTTTTCCCCATCAGGGATTGAAATGGCAGGGAAAATTTGCACCTGCCAAACATCAGTTAGTGACTGATGTAGGCAGAGAAGCCTCTGTTAGGAAAGGAGGTGGCATCCATAGAGCTGATGGCAATGAGGAGGAGGAAAAAATATAACTAGTTCCTTTCATTCTGCAGCGCAGTACATATTAGACTGACCACTTATATCACCCAAAAAACCTGTTTTTCTATGGCTTTAAGAGGATGAAATGCTTGCTGGAGAACTATGTAACTGTCTTATTAGACAAAGTCTTTTGTTTGACTTACAGCATCTGCAGAACTAGGTTATAGCTCATGACATCTCATGCTAATTTATTAAAATACCTGAATGTCTAAAACAATCCAGGAGAGCTGTTGTCTTCTCTAAACATCACTGGGCCCCACTATATATATAGATATTGCCTGTCTGCCGAATGTCCATATTGCATTACTAATGTCATTCTATCTGGCTATAACAATGACTAGGGTAGTAAGTTCTGCCTTGGTCTTTTTCCTGTGTATGCACTTTAAAGAAACTATCCTCCATCTGTCCTAACAAATTTTTAAAAACTTTTATTTTTGATGGACATGAAAGAAGAAGGATCTCTGTGTATTATAACAATTTTTATCTGGCTTTTGTTGTTGCCAGACATGTCTGTTACTCAACAGAAATGACTTTGATATGTAGACAGATACAGTTGATTTATGAGTTGAGCCATTTCCCCTACATTTTTCTCATTTGTTTTTCTTTTTTCTAATTTTGTGGTCTTGTTGGAAAATTATGCTATTAATGTAACAACTTGCATTCAGTCATTCAGAGGAAGCTGAAAAACTGTTGTTGTGGAACTCATAACTGTTGTTATGGAATTCAGTCTGCATTCCAGCACAGAAGTGGAAATGAACAGAAATGTTGACTCTTTAAAGTGTACAGCATGTAAAATGTTTGTTGCTCTTGTAACCTTGACCTCTTCCTCCTTCCCCTTGACATTCCTCCTCGAAAACAGTAACATGATGCAAACAAGAGTGATTGTGCCAAAAATATGTGCACACATCTCTGGAAAGCAAGGAAGTTTTTTGTATAAATGCTAAGTACTATTTTACTCTAAAGAAATAGTCATGTAACTTGATAGTTTTGTAAATGGGAGAGGGGGGAATTATAAACATATAAATAATACAGGTTTATTTTATTTTTTGTACATTTTTCCAGAAGAAAATAAATATTCATAAGAAATAATTATGTCTTTGTTGGGTTCTCCACTGATGTTGAAATATTGTTCATTTGGAGATTTACTCACAGACACTCAAATAAGCTTACATTTTTTGGTGGGACTTTTAGCTACCTCCTTAATTGGCCACATCTGCTTACATTAGTAAGTGAGACGCTACTGTCTTCCCATGCAGGATATTGGCACACACCCTTCTTCTTTTGCCGTCAGTTGTTCCCACCATCAGGCTCTTCTCCTGTGAGTCCTTCCCTCTCATTAGGTGGCCAAAGTATTTGAGTTTCATCTTCACTATCTGGCCTTCAGGGTTGATATCCTCTAGGACTGACTGGTTTGATCGAATTATACAGTGTGCTATATTAGGAAGGGAAATGTCATTCTTCTTCATAAGGAAGTGACACTTAACATGATCCCTACAGAGTCACTATGGAAAAGGCATGCAAAACACACAGGCCTGATTTATGTAGCAGTGAGCCTATGGTTAAGCACAGCCGTCATA